AACCATGAGAAACGGCCCAGAACCCGAGAAATGGGACCCCTTCCTTGCCCGTTTTGCGCATTGATGCGACTCTCATCGCTGTGCCCTCTTCAACACTACGCTCTCTCTGCTATCTAATCACTCGCCACGTATAGACCTGCGGCGAGTGATTAGATAGTCGGTGGGCGTACCCCGCCAACCGCGCCAAGAGTGAGCCATGCTAGATCGCCGAGGTCAAATCTTTCGCTGCCAATTGCGCGTCGGTCAGCACCCTCAGGAGGTCCGCCTGTCTCCCAACTATGCAATTTTCCCCTTCTTTGACCTTCGTTCTTATCGTGAATTCCTCCTTTAACATTGCACTTCACAATTCGAACGAATACGAGTCGATTTCATCCAAGTCGTGACGTGCACGTAGAATGTAGCGGAAGGGCTAACGACTCCTCGAAATTGCGATTTACGGCATACCCTTTACCAACCTAGTCTTTTCAACCTATTCCATGACTTGGAAGCACGAGTTAGTTATGCTCAATTCAATAATGGGCTTCTCAACAGTTCTATCCGCCCTATTGACTCTTTCAGCTGATTTTTACCAACGTCGTATATCTAACGGCCACCATGTGGATAAACGAATGGTTTATATCATGATTTCTGCTACTTTCTGCCCTGAATCCAGACAGAAGAAGAAAGTCGTGCGAATTAGCTCCTTGAGAATCCTGCATTCCATGACATGAAAAAGTGGGAGTGGTCCTTTCAGGGTAGAGCTGAAACTATGTATGTTTGGAGAGAGCAAAACGTGCTTCCTGATAATATGCAAATGCAGCAGTCTGCCGAAAATTCACTCAGGACTAATACACTGAGACCTAGATTTTATAATGTGGCAAAACTTTCTTTACAAACCAATAATTTATAGTCAACACGGATAAAATGTGAATTGCGTAGTTTGGAGTTACCTTGAATTGCTTGATTAGTGATGACCTTGATTCAGTTCACATGCGTAGTAACATGAGCCTGTATGAGAAAAGAGAAGAGCGAGACAGGAAAGACTGTTCTAGATGCTCCGTTCGGCCACCCCTGATGTGAAGACTCCTGATATTCCCTCCGCCATTTTTATGGTAACACTTTCTGACAGAGCCTTTCTGTGGTCGTCTGACCTATGTCCTTCGGTTTGACCCCATTGTGTTGTCGCAATCCGGAATTTGGCGACCCGAAGCCGTTTGTCAGAAATAGCTATGGCTTTGTTCAAATAAGGTGGAACATTCTTGGTGCTAATAAAAGAGAAACCAGCAGCTCGCTCAAAGCCTCATATTCCTTTTAGGTCGTGTAGGACAACTTTAATATCCAGATTCCAGGCAGAAATTGGGTTCCCGGCTGGATCATACACATGCCGATACGTAGTAAGAAGATGAGCATTTTTCAGGGCGCCGGTCAACGAATCGTGATACCGTCGCTGCTGATATGGCAGTCGGTTCGAATATCTGGGAGACGTGGAATCGCATTTCCTACCAAGTTTTCGAGTGAGTACAGCAAAGCTCTTATATTTAAACTGTGACTGTATGCTGCAGCCAGATCAAGCCAACTCAGTGGTTATAAGCAGGCCTTCTTTCGTAGCTTTAGTAGATTGGAACTCACACTTATAACCTTTTCCGAATTGCTCAGCACCCTCATGAACTGAGCCTAGAAATTTACCCTCTTCTCTTGTTCTATAGGACTGGGAAAAACTGCAGGCAGATGTCCTTTGAGGCCGCATTTTCGTCCAATTCATGAAATTAAGAACGGCTCAACTTCAGGGCGATCGTTCGCGACGATGCTCGCTTAGCCCAGCATGATGCATCCTATCAAGCGAATAACACCTGGCTATGTGTGCCTCAGCTAATCGCAAACCTCGCCTGTCTTACCAGCGTTGCTGCCGTTTCGAATGGGGTGAGCCTCGAAAACTGTGCAGGGTTTTCTTCATGCATGTTAAATACTTAATGGAGAGTTTTTCAGCCAGGCGAACCTTTACGCCGTGAGCTAATGAATGAATCAGCAGAAGCAGGATCGGCTGGCTCGAAAATGGTAAAGAATAAGCCTAGATTCCCTTGGCCGGCCAACTTTGACGTGGAATACACACATTCGTAGACTATTGTGCGACAACCATCAGTTGTCTATAACTTTGTAGAATATGTAGGGTTGATACGACTTCTCCGTTATATAATCCTTCTATTTTATAAAGCGCTAACTTTGTGTGTCGGTTTGTGTATCTGTATGTGTGTGTGTGTGTGTGTGTATGTATGTGTGTCCGTCCGCAAAATGAAGTGAGTGAGAAGGAAGCTCATGGGATAAACAAACCGCTAACAAATCGGGTAGCTTACAGGATTTGAGATATCAATGTTTTGTAGCAGGATAGTTGTGATAACACTCTTAGGGCTATATAAACACCTGCTTAGCACACTTCCGTTCATTCCACATGGTGCTGCAGTGGCAGCTGGAGGGCAGTGGAGAGAGGAAGGGAGGATGAGGAAGGAAGCGAAAAATCTACCGTCATATCATGATTGTGTCCCTTCTACTGTATGAAACACCATTGTGTTGCATACGCGTCACTTCCAGGAGGTGTTGGTGTCACAGGAGGAAGGGACCATAGCGGAGGATAGAAAGCTTGCGCAGGAAAGGAAGGTCCCGGCGGTTGACGGGGGACTAATCTGGTTATATAAATGAGAGATTTTCTCCTTCTCTGATAAGCCAGTTATATCATAGAATAAACTCCCTATCTATGATATTATTGGTTATGATAAATTAACCACTGAGCATGAATCTGCGAAATTTTCAGCCACGAACACTAATGAACCTTGTTGGAGATGAGCTACGACAGTGGGAAATTGCTCTTCACTCAGTATCAAAACCAGGTGTGTACTAAAGAACTAGAGAAATCTAAACTGTGAAACCAATAATCATCTGCAATTCCGTTCAAACCAAACCCTTTACTAACTAGTTCGACTGGACACTGCGCTCCCATGCATGGAAACTGCAGGATAAGAGTGTTAGGGCCTTACAGGTGGCTTCAGCTCCCATTTCCTAGTCTGCAGGAGGCTATTGTGCTGCTCCCCCATATGTTGCGCTGTGCGCTCAGTTTCTTATTGCTTCAGCACAGCCGCATTGTCAAGATGAACAAGCAATTAACTTGAGAGCTTGTGAAGGGTTGCCTCTTTTTTCTCTACAGCAGCCACATTTCGCACCAATACTTTCATCTTCGTCAGAAAACAAGTACAGGTATCAAAATTGTGCTCGTCTGATGGTGGCTTCGAGTCTTTGCACAGAACTGGGTGCGAAAACGACGTACACATGAAGCGCTATTCTGGGGCTGGGATTCTCGCAGCGCACTAATTCGCAAAACTCTGTGCATGATTCAGGGATTTTTACACTCGCTCGTCGCATTCTTATTCACCCCAAGTTCACAAAATCGTATGCGTACAACACTTTCGTCACACTGAACAGCCTTGGCGTAGAAATGAAAATCTTTGATGGACCGAGCGAAATTGTTCAGTGGATTCAAAAGAACTTGAGGGTGAGTGACGAAAAATGTTCCTTGAAGATTATTGAGCAATACCACACGCAGCTCAACTTTCTTCGCTTCGAATACGACAGCCTAATCAAACAGGTGAACTATTTTTCAGCTCACATCACTATTTACTTGTCCATTCGAATTATGGAGAGGTGGTGAACCACACATGAAGAAAGAGGCATGTGTCTTACTCTAATTCTCCCAATTTACCGAAAAGCCTTGAACTTTTCTTGTTCTGCTTTGGCAACCATTTTGAAAACGTGGGAATATTCTAATGACGTCATTGAAGACTTTGAATGTTTGGGCTCAGGCTGGTCTTAAAGGAAAATGACTGAACACATCTCGTGGCATGAAGCGGTGCGCGTCATAATGCCCGTGTCGGCGCATTGCGGCACGCCTTCCCTTGCTATCTCCCATTTTTAAGGTCCAACCCGTGTTGCTCAACGTCCTTCTAAAAAAAATTTAACGACGGGCGTCTCTCTGGGTGTCTTGATGCAACCATCCACCACCACAATCGAAGAGGGGCATCCATAAATAACGGCCTCCCACCCCGCCCTTCCTCCCATCACCACCAATGCTTGTTTCAAAAGCATTCGAGTCCAGGACTAACCAAAACACTTCAACTCCGCCTACATTTTAACTTCTGAACGGTCTCCCTCTCTAACAACCACGACCCCTTCAATTTGCACATATGCGATCCCTTTCGCTTCAACTTTTTCAATGAGGCTCAACACCAAATACTACGCTCCCAAATTGCAAATACGACCCACGTTTAACGAATTCAGGTGGACGGCTGAGTGGCACCTCCTCATGAATCAACTAGCTGAGTATGCAACATTTTTGACATCTTGGCAAATCTAGAGCGTGTGGAAAGACCGGCCGGAGGATATGACTGACTGACTTCAGTTTTTACTTGTCTTCGAAACCAACATAGAAAAAGAGGTGGCGGATACTGTCAATATAGATATGGCCTAGGGTTGAACTGTAGCACAGTGCACCCCTAACGCAGGATATGAACTTCCGATAACGACATCGCTTCTCCTTTTTACTTGTTGAGAGGGTCTGACAATGCTTTTGAAGTTGTGTTGGATGAACATGTACTTAACCACGAACATTTGCTCGACGACAATTGAGCGAAGATCGTTCGCGACTTCTTACATAATTCGCCTGCATTTTGAACAATGGCTTTCTCCAGCACGTGCTATCATTCGTCCGTCATGTAAGGGTGCATTCCGTAACACTACGCACCACCAGGGTGAATAACGGTCGAGGAATTCCTCGACCATGGCTCTCTACTGTGCGAGAGTAGTGTCGAGAGTGAATGATGCGCGGAGAGCACAGACGGCTCGCGGGTGGCGAGAGTGAGCATCCGCGTGGGAGAGCGTGAAAAATCCTCGACAAGCCGTTATCGTTTCCTCAAGCGATTTTCACCCTACGCACCACTCCTCACAATTTTCAATTTACCTTCAATGTTCCAGCAGACGTGTTCACGCTCCTCTCTGAATTATCTGAATGCCTTTTACTCGCACGTCATTCAGCTGCCATGACCAGTCCACTTTTCCGAAGGTCATTGAATGTACTTTGCCTCAACCTAACGGTCTGGCAGTATTAGCGTTGGATCTTTAGAAACCAGTCGATTTCGGAATGAACTCACGAGCGGCCGGTGATGCTTGGTGTAGAAATCCAGTTCGTTTCGAATGAATTGAAACTATTGACCAGATAAACCCGATGAAACTATGGAGCTAACAAATCATATGAAAAACAATTATGATAAAGGCTGTTATCATTCGAGAAGCCTTTCCATAGATGCGTACATAGGCGCGCTTCTAGAAGCCCAATACTATATTTGTTTTTACCTTGTGCAGGCAAAGTGCGCATTGGATTAGAACTGTAGTAGTTCTGAACGGGAGTCGAATATGTGGCGCGTACCAAAATAACACCAGTCAACTCAATACATTG